AAGCCAATTAGTCATGGACATTACTTTAAGGTCCAGTACTTTGCAAACTCTCCCCTCTTCAATTTTCCTTCTCTCAAGCTGCCCATTATCCCGAGTACAAAGGCTTTAAAATGAGTGTGGACTGTTTGCCTGTCTCCATGGAAGCCTCGCCACACTGCACCGTACACAAACACTTCCCAGGCATCTTCAGCACTACTTTCCCCTCTGATCTTTGCCCTAAACAAATGTGCTGTTTATTCACTCTTCTTCTCATTTATGAAGACCCATTTGATGCTGTATGAAAACTAATGAGAAAAGAATTAAACCTATGTTTAACAATGAGTGAAGATTCCTCCGTTTAGCATTTACCATGACAGCGAAAGCATACCAGTTGGCCTCTTTCGTTATGCTCTTCTTTGAACCCCAAAACCTCTGCCACTTGAAAATCAAGAGTGCAGGTTTGGCATTAAACAAAATAAAAAGCTCCCAGATAGGAAAAAATGCCCTAGTGGTTAAATCACCTAAGAAATCAGGAGATCATGGTGTTTCATTGTTCCGCTACCAAAGAGCACCACCATGACTCCATTCATGCCTCCATCACTTCACTTGAGAACGAGGATGAAATGCTGTGTAGTTCAACAATAAACTAAGGAGCATGAAGCAACCCTAAGCAATTAAACCTTCTGTACCGTTTGGCTGCATCTGCTTTAAAGTCCAAAAACCAGAGAAAATGCAGTCAGAAATCTGAAATACCCTCCAAAGCGAATGTAGGATCCTATATTGATGGCAAAATCAAAAGAAGGAAACACCCCTTTCTTCCAATAGACAGCAAAGGTTCATTAGCATCCTTCATGCTATTCTTCTAGTTCTGTGCAGTATCTACGATGAGAACCTTCTTCCACCCATCTCATGTTGAGTTCCTAGTTGCAGTTTAAAGGAATGGTACGTTTGCCCTTGCAGCTACATGAGCAGTATTAACAACCCCTTTCCCCCCCGTCACAATGTCTGTAAAGCCAAAAAGATCTCTAGCTCTGCCTCCTCATCTTTGGCACCA